AAATCGTTACTATTTAGGTTATTCATTCATTAGGTATTTATTTCTGAGGGATCGGGATAGAAATCTGGAATAAACAGGAAAAAGAAAACTTGTCGGGATTAAAAAGTAATAATAATAATAATATCAAATCACGATTTTTTATTACGTAATAAAAAAAAGGATTAACGAAAGGATTATGTGTAATAATCGGGGATAGAAAAAAGACAAAAAAAAAAAAAAGAAAATTTCCATAATTTACGTTTCCGGTGGTGGTGACGTAGGTGATGACGTAGGTGTCGGAAAAGTAAAAACATTATTAAAAAAAAAAAAAGGTTCAAAAACCGACCGAATGTGTGACGTACAAAAGCAAAGGAAAAAGTTTTTTTTTAATATGTGACGTAAATTTATTTCCATTTTTTTTTTTTGTAAATTTTCCTTTGCTAAAAAAAGGAAAAAAGGAAAAAAAGGGGAAAAAAGAGGCGAATTAATATCCCGAATTTTTTTTTTTTCGTTACAAATGATTACGTATTCTAATTTTCCTTTTTTTTTCCTTTCCTGGAGATTTTCAAATGTTATATTAACCATTTGCTAAAAAAAACGGAGGAGAAAAAAAAGGTATAAACGTACAAAAACCGGAAGTGATTAAGGGAATAAAAAGGAATAAAATGTTGGGGAGAGAGAGAGAAAAGGGGAGAGAAAGAGAGAAAAAAAAGGATAATCGTTTACTTCCGGTGTTTTTATTATTATTATTTTTTTTATCCTAACTAAATAAATAAATAAATTTTTAACGAAATTCTTATATCATCATCATTATCATCATCATCATCATCATCATCATTATCATCATCATCATCATCATCATCATCATCATTATCATCATCATTATTATCATCATTATCATCATTTTTTGACGTTCGTACAAAAACTGGAACGGACGAATTATTTTTAGAGTGTGAATATAATCCCAGAGCCGTTTTTAATTTTTTTTTTTTTTATATAATCGCTCGACCGGAAACGCCGTTGTACGACGACGACAAGGACTACGAAAATAATGACGATGATGATAATGATGATAATAATAATAATAATAAAAAGTTTGAAATAAAATTTTGTAAATTTGTCACGGTATGTTTCGTTTGACTCGAGGATGTTTTTATAATTATTATCATTATTATTGTTATAACGAATTTAAATATCGTTATAGAAAAAGGAGTTTTACGTTTCGATATTTCTCGAATCGATTTTTAACTCTCGAAACTCGAAACACGAAAAAAATTTTTTTTTTTATTTTTACAAAAATTATTTATTTATGAAAAACGTGAAGAAAAAAAAACTGAAATTAAAATGAAAAAGATGAGATTCGTAGGGGTGGGGTGGGGGAAGGAAAAGGCAAATTGGACAAAGGTGGAAGGAGAGAGGAAGGTAGGGAGGGGTGTAGGAGAGAGGTAAGAGGAAAGGGAAGATAGAAGAAATTTTTTTAATTTAATTTGTTTCGTTGAAATGTAAATAAGGTAAAAAAAAATTAATTTTTGATTTTCCTTAAGGTTATTTAAAATTTTTTTTTTTTGTTCGTTCCAGGGAAAAATTTTTATGGAAAAATTACGTGAGGGGGGAGGGAAGGGGAGGAGGTTGGGGGTAAGTGGGGAGGAGGAAAGGTGTAAAAGGGAAAAGGGATAAATAAAAAATTTTTTTAAAAACGAGGAGGATGTAGTTCATTTTTTTTTGTCGTACAAATTCACGATAGACTTTTTTTTTTTATTAACGTGATCAATCAATCAATCATTCGATCATTTAATTAAATTTGAAATAATAATAATAATTATTATAAATTTTTTCCCATTCGGTACAAAATATATAAAAAAAAAAAAAAACGTCTGGAAAAATTTTTTTTCCTCGTAATTTGTTTTATTATTATTAATATTATTATTATTATTATTATTCCTCCACATTTCCTTCCGGTATCATTTCAATTTTTTTATATTCTATTACCACGTTTTTCCCCCCCTCTCTCTCTCTTCCTCCCTCCCCCTTCGCGTTTTTTTTTTTTTTTTTCATTTCATTTCGTCTTGTTCTTTATGTATTCAAGTCACAAATGAATTTTTATTTTCTTCGATTTTCATTACTGGAAACAAATATTTCGAACACGCACGCACACACGTGCACACCCACATACACGCGCACGCACACACGCACGTACACACTCACGTTTTCCATCTCCTTCTTTTTCTTCTTCTTTTTCGTTCGTAGAACACGTAGAGATTCCAGATTTTTTTTTTTTTTGATAAAAATTTTTTTATCATTATTATTATTATAATCATCTTCGTTCTCATCATCATCATCATCATTATCATTATTTAAACAATTTTCAATCGACGATGAAAAAAAAAAGAAAAGAAACAATAAATTATTATTATCATCATTAAAATTAAATTTTCCGTTTGCATTTTCATTTTCAAAAACGGAAAAAAAAATTTTTTTTACTCCAGTTTTATTATTTTTATTATCATTATTATTATTATTATTTTTTGTTTAATTAATTTTCCTTTGTTATATTTTTTTTTTTTTTTAAATTTTTTAAATTTTCCTCTTTTGCGTTTAAAAAAAAAAAAGAAAAAAATTTTTTTTCGCATTGTTAACACTCGTTCAAATGAATAAAAAAAAATTTTTTTCTTTCCTTTTTTTTCTTTCCATTGAATTTTTTTTCTTTTTCATTTTTTTCCGATAATTTTTTTTTTGAGGAAAAAACTTTTGTGATTTTTTAAATGATTATCATTATGCCCCGCTCTCTCTCTCTCTCCCCCATTTCCCCCCTTCCTTTCGTGGTTTTTTTTTTTACACTGTTTATTCCTTTTTGTAACTTTTTCCTTTTTTTCCTTTGATTTTTTTTTTCAATTATCTTTGTCGTCGTCTGTCGTATCGTTTTTTTTTTCTTAAATAAGGAGGTCACGAATTTAATTTTCCTTTTTCAAATGAAAAAAAATAATAATAATAATTTTCACATTTTTAATGAAAAATTTTATTCCTTTGCAGTATTTTAATAACAATTATTATTATTATTATTCTTAATATTATTATTGTAAGTGACGAAATGAAAAATGAAAAATAGATGTAGAAGATGATGAAAAAAAATGGAGAGAGAGAGAGAGAGAGAGGGAAAAAAAAGGAATGAAAAGGAAAGGATCAAAAAAAAATTGGGAAAGAGAGAGAGAGAGAAAGAGAAAAAGAAATGATAGAGAAAGAGAGGGAGAGAGAGAGAAAGAAAGAGAGGGTGAAAGAGAGAATGAATGAGTGAAAAGAACAACAGTAAGAGAAAAGAAAAAGGAAAATGATAGAGAAAACGAGAAAAAGAGAGGATGAGGGAAAAAGAAACGGTGAGGGGGAGAGAAAGTGAGAGAGGGAGATAGAGGATGAAAAAACAAACAGTGTGAGAGAGAGAGAGAGAGAAAACTTTTTAATTTATCTTTTTACACAAATTTTGATTTATTATATATACTTTCAGAGACCCGAAACAAAACAAAAAAAATTTTTTTTTGTTTTTTTTTTTCTTTGATTTATTATTAAATTTTTTTGTTTTTTTTTTTTGTTTTTATTATTTTCATTCTGCTGCTGATGGTGCTGACGGTGGTGCTGACGATGGTGGTGGTGATGGTAATTCGTCATCAGGTTTCACGGGTAAAACATGCGAAGAAAGAACTGATCCGTGCGAATCATCACCGTGCGAAAACGGTGGTAAATGTTCCAGTAATCAAACGGAATTTAAATGCGATTGTCAAACCGGATATTCAGGTGATAGATGCCAACATCCGTCGGATCTTTGTTCAGAATCTCCATGTAAACATGGGATTTGCGTTTCTCAACCTGACGGATATAAATGTTTTTGCCGTCCAGGTAACTCACAGGAAAAGGAATAAAAAAAAAAAAAATTTTTTTTCAAAACCGGAAATAAAAAATTTTAATTTTTTTTTCAAAGGTTTCGCTGGAGAAAATTGCGAATACGAATTTAACGAATGCGAATCTTCTCCATGTTTAAATGGAGGTACATGCATCGATCAAATCGGTGGATATCAATGCATTTGCGGAAGAGGTTTCAACGGTAAAAGATGTCACATAAAAGTAAGAGGTTTTATATACCACCTGATCAATTTTAAAATAATTATCAGGAGATTATAAAAATTTGGGTTTTTGCGTCCAGGTCGATTTATGCGATCCGCAACCATGTGCGGAGGGTAGGATTTGCGAAGATAGGGGTAACAATTACAGTTGCGAATGTCCAAAAGGTTACACCGGACCTCAATGCAACGAACCTTTAAAAGCGGTACGTAAAACTCTTTTTCCGCCGGAAACGAAAACAGAAAAAAAGAATTTATTACATGTGGATTTTGTTTTTTTTTTTTCACGTACACAGGTTTGCAGCAGCAATCCGTGTAAACATGGCGGAACTTGTTGGAGTAGCGTTAATTCGTTTTATTGCGCTTGCCGTCCCGGTTATTCCGGTAAAACATGTTCCCAAGAATTATCCGTTGATAAAATCGAATCGAGTTCGAAATCTTACATTGAACAACAGCAGGAAATTTACGATAATAGAAACATTCCCCTCGGATTTCGTCTAGACAAATTACATAACATATATATTGCTGTCGGAACTCTTTCCTGCGCTTTATTCCTCGTCGTTTTAACGGTTAATCTCTTTTCTTTCTTTCTTTTATTTTTTATCAAATTCTATTACCACGACGTTTTTATTTTTATTTTAAATTATACTTTTACAGGTAGCTGTTTGCCATTGTCGAGTACACGAATCATACAAAACGTGTTTTGTTAATTCCACGCCATTACTCCCGTGTAAAATAAGAAAATTAGATGTTTTACCCAGGCATTCCAGGTTTGTTTGTTTGTTTGTTTGTTTTAAGTATTTCATAAAACAATTTTTAATTTGATTGTTGTTTAAAGAACCGTTAAACCGTTATTGGGTTATCCTCAAGATCAAATGCCGATGCCAACGAGAAGTTTTCCAACATTAGACACGACGGAAGTTTATTACACGTTAGATTTTAGCGATAATCAAAATGCTCCATTGATACAGTAAAAATTTTTTTTTTTTTTAATAAAAAAAATTTTATATATATTTAATAATATTGCCTAATCGTTGTTCGTATGGTAGCCAATTAATAACGTTTCATTATAAATTATTTAATATTATGATAATGATAATAATAATTAATATTAACGATAAATAAAACCACCTTCGAACTGCTTTCTTTTTTTTTTTTGTTTCTTAAACTTTTAAAATATTATTCGTATTTGTAATTATTATCATTATTATTATCGTTTAAATCCCTGTGCCAAATCAATCAATCATTATTATTATTTATTTATTAATTAAAAGAAAATTTCAATTTAAAAAAAATAAAATTAATTAGTTATTAAGGTTAGATATTATTATGCGCGCTCAAATCGTTGTAACGGTTTTTTTGTTTTGAATTTTGTTTCCGAGAATTGATAATTACGTCATCAATTACGTTTACGCCATTTTGAATTTATGTCGCGACGAAGTTAGGTTATCTTGTTAATGATATTACCTGCTATATATTCGCGTATAAAAATTTTGCGTGAGTTTTATTAATTTTTTTCGTTTAAATAAGGTTGATAATGATAATAATAATATTGGTAATTAGTGTTCGGAAAGGTTTTTTTTTTTTTATCGTTCGAAAGATATTATTTACGATGTTTATATAAAATAAAAAAATAATTAATTAATATTAATGTTATTATTCTCGCTGTAAATATATTTAAAACATTTTTTTTTTCGTTTTTTATTATTATTATTATTCTTAGATATATATATATTTAAATAAATAATAAATCCATCCGATTTTATGCTATGTTTTATGTAATATAATTGTGTGAATTTAAATAAATTTTAATGAGTTTTTTTTTTTTATTAATAAAAAATTCCGTGAAAAATTTCATCACCACCTACGCCATTTTGATTTTATTAACGTTTTTTTTTTTATTCATAAACGAATCCTAAGGCGATTAAAATTTTTTTTTAATGTAATGAATTAATTTTAAAAGTTTTAATTTCGTTTGATATATATTTAAATTTGAAAAAAATGGCTCGTATTTTTTTTTTGTCGTGGCAGAAGATGTAACTCACGCTTTGTTAGTTACACTACATAATATTTCAACATGAAGTTGTTTTACTGGTAAAGTTTATGCTTATATTAATAATATTTATTAATAAGCAAACTTTATGTTTTTTTTTTGAAAGTTAATAAGTTAATAATAATAAGGATATAATCAAAATGAATCCCATGACGTAGGTATTTTATTTACATTAAAATTTTTTGTATTGTGAAATAAATCATGAATGTTATTAATCTGTAAGAAACTTGTTTGATTCATGTAAACTCAAATGAAAAGAGTGAAATTAGAAAAATAAGTCAGGATTGTTATTTATTATTTAATGTGATGATTTGAATACAATCCTTTATCATGTATGTTTGTTTTTTTTTATTATTAGAAATGTGAAAAACATAAAAAAATTAAGCGAAGAAGAATTAAAAGGAAGATACAAAACTTCATGGCATGAACAGTACAAAGATAGTGCTTGGGTTTTTGTCGGAGGTTTGCCATATGATTTAACAGAAGGAGACATCATTTGTGTTTTTTCACAGTAAGTAATTATAAATTTTTTTATAAAATGGTTAAACTTTGACTTTAAATAATGAATTATGTGTTGTGTAGGTTTGGCGAACCAGTCAATATAAATTTAGTAAGAGATAAAGATTCAGGGAAATCGAGAGGATTTTGTTTTTTATGTTATGAAGATCAGAGATCGACAAACTTAGCAGTAGATAATTTAAATGGTGTTAAGATATTAGGAAGAACCATTCGAGTTGATCATGTTGAAAATTATAAACCACCAAAAAATAACAAAGGTTAGATTCTCATAAATTTTTTGTTATTTCTTAAACCTCAGCGATTTTGTAATGTCGAACAATGCTTCACATTATTTCTTTCTGCTTGAACTTTAAATTTATTTTCATTTCAGATGAAAAATCATTAGAAGCAAGTTCAAATTCGATAAAAAAAGAAAAAGATGATGATGAAAAGATAAAAATAAAAATAAAACAAGAGAAAAAATCATCATCATCATCATCATCATCAACATCCTCATCATCCTCATCATCATCTTCTGAAAGTTTGAGTGACTCTGATGAATCGATTAAAAAGAAAAGTAAAAAAAAAAGGAAGAAAAAACACAAGAGAAATCACGATTCGGATGACGTTTCTAAAAAGAATAAAAAAAAGAAAAAAAAAGAAAGGAGTAAAAGAAAAAAACAAGATTCTAGCGATGATTCTTCGGACGAAGAAAAAAAAGACAACAAAATACAAAAGAAAAATAAAAGAGACTCGAGTACAAGTTCTGGAAGTTCTTCAGAAAGCAGTTCAGACGAGAAGAGAAAAAAATTAAAAAAAAAAAATAGAACGATAGAAGATTTAAAAAGAGAAGCTAGAATAATTCAAGAGGAGTTGAAGAGGAGACAAAAAGTAGAAGAAAAAAAGAAAAATCAATCGATTGATAAAAGAGAAAGGAAAAGATCAAAATCGACGAGCAACGATGTTGATGTTGAAAGAAAAAAAGAAAGGAAACGTTCGAATCATCAAGATGGCGGCAGAGAACATAAAAAAAGAGAAAGTTCGCCGAGTGGGAGTAGAAAAGAATTACAGCAACATTGGAAAAGAGATAGATCGAAAAGCCCACGTGACAGCAGAAGAAACGACAGACGTGAAAGAAGTCGAGATAGAGATAAAGAAAAAAATGGACACAAACGATCACGACGACACGATCGAGTGTAACAAAAAAAACAAAAAAAACAAAAAAAACTTTTTTTTAATAAATAACTTTCGCAATAAAAGGAATTTCAACGGATTTTTCATTTCCTACTCCATGACGTCATTTCCGGTAAAACTTTCTCGCCACCGACCACGATAACTCACAATGATTGTGAGTACACAACGATACATAAAAACCTTGTCTGCTTCCACTGTACAAAAAAAAACAAAATAAACAAATCATTTGCAAAATTATAAAATATAAAAATAAATAAAAAAATTTTTTTTTTTGGCCTACTTAAAAGTAAAAATTATCCAGTGAATAAAATGGTTATAATCAGTCGTTTATATCCCGATGTAATAATTAAAACCTCTTGTATTCATAATAATGATAATGATAATAATAATAAATATGATGTAATTGTTTGTTTAGGTTATAAAAGTATGTCGACCTTTAATTATTGAAGATCAAGTATTAAAAGTAATATTAAAAAAATTTTACGAATCCTTATCGAAAAGTTTAATAGCAGAATACAGTGAAAGTTCAATGATAAAATGTAAATTAACTCACGTGACCGATTTTCCAGACGGAACAGGTAATGGATAAAATCATGGATAAAAAATGAATCATGTGACCGTTAACGATAAATTTCTTTTTTTTTTTTTTTTAGAAGAAGGGATTTTTATAGGTTTGGAATTTTCCGGAAGGATATTTCGTTTAGTACATACGTCATTAAACGGAAATAGATCGTATGTAACGTCGTCGAGATTATACGAATTTCCAGATGCGAAACCTAACGAAGACGTCACGAAGGTAAATAATAATAATGATAATATTTCCAAGGGGAGTAATTTTTGTTCGTTTGATTCCAGACGGCTGAATACGTTGCGAAATGCGTTAATAATTTCATTTCCGGTTTCGAATCGTACGATAAAAAATTAATATTGGGCATAGCATCGTCATTTCCGATGGAACAAGATAATTTACAAGAATGTTTCATAACATCCTGGAACAATGAATTTCAAAAAAACGAATGTAACGAAAATTTTTTCATGGAATTAAAAGTAGCGTTAAAAAAATATCAGGTACGATTATGATTTTGTACTGGAAAACAAAATTCCAGCTAGGGAATTATTTAATTTTTTTAATTTTCCAGTACACGAAGAAAATGTATCTAATAAGTATGGTGAGTAACGGAACTGCATGTCTTTTGTGCGGTTTGTACAAAGATCCCTGGATAAGAATCGGTTTGTTTTTGGGTAAGTGAGGGGGGGCGGGGGGAGGGAGGGAAAATAAATTTCTCACAAAATTTTTCTTATCGACGATAGGTGATAATACGAACATAACATACATAGAAAAATATGATAATATGACGACGTATTCTGGAGATGGATTAAGAACTCGAACCGCCATAGATGTTGGATTGAAAAATTTTGGAGATGATGGAAGTTTAGATTACATAAGATCTGAATTTGACATACAAGTTGATGAAGCATCCAACGATCCTGGAAAAAACACGTGAGGAGTCACGAGTCTCCCCGGTTTAAAAAATTCGTTAATAATTTTTTTTTTTTGGCTTATTTCAGACTGGAGAAATTAATGTCGTCATCGTATCTTGGAGAATTGGCAAGACTTTGCATATATAAATTAGTTTCAATGGGAGTCCTGTTAAAAGGTTACATAAGTCCCGGTTTATCCATGAAAGATAGTTTGAAAACCATGGATCTCGCAATCATGGAAATGTTAGTAACGTCGAGAATGATTCGATCGATGATCGATAATCGATAATCGATTGTTTTTTTTGTTTAAGGGATGACGAAAATAATTATTTGCGTTGTAAATCCATTTTGTATTCTTTGGGTTATCCGAATGTTTCCGATTCTGATTGCGTCCAAATAAGATTCATATGTAGATGTTTGGCAAAAAGATCCGCTTATTTGGCGGCTACTTGTTTGTCGGCGGTCATAACGAAAGTGGAAATGAAAGACGTGAGAATTATAGGAGATGGAATGCTTTTAAAAGATTTTCCTAATTATGAAACTTATCTATTGAAAAAAATTCACGCTATGAAAAGACCCACGACGAAAGTTTGTATTTTCACGTTGGGGGGAGGGAGGGAGGGGGAAACGACAACAGGAAAAACGTTTAAATTTTCCTTTTTTTCCAAACAGGTTTTTTTAAGAAAATGTGAAAAAGACGATATCGGTACGGGTGCGGGTTTGATAGCTCACATATACAAAGATGGATTAATTAAAATTGAAGATAAACATAGAGTTTTACCACATTTCGATAAAAATAAATATAATTTACTCGATGTGCCTGTGACGTCATGCGACGATTGCGTGGATTCAAATAAAATAAAAAAGAAAAACTCGTGTAAAATTCGGGAGGAGGCGATAGTAAGATCGGGAAAAGACGATGGGAAAAAAATCGTTGGCGGTAACGGTATTATTAGTTCATTAAAAAAACGTCCGATGCTAGCGCCACATTCAAAACAAACATCACCGCCATCTATGGCGACCCCTCGAATGATTTTATCAAATACCGGAAATGAATTTTTATTCGGTAACGATTTCATTAATTCAATATATAAATGACGTTGGTGATGACGTCATCGGAAAAGGAAGTCGATTGGAATTTTTTTCTTGTTTAAAAAGAGTGTATGTAAATAAATAAATAATAATAGACAATAAAACAATAAATAAAATATTTAAATATTTTTATTTATTTATTTATTTTATTAAAATGTATATTTATCGATTTTATTGAAACATAGAAAAAACAACAAATAATAATAATAATAATATTTATTTTAATGCATGCCTATATTTTTTTTTTGTCGCAATTTCATTAATCATTATTAGTTCCTTATTGACACGTTCATTAATTAATTAACCGTAGCAAAACGAAAAAAATTTTACACACTAGTTTAAAACATAATCCATTTATTTATTTATTTATTTTTTTTTTTTGGCGGTGGTGGTGGGGGGGGGGGTAAATAGTTTTGCGTTTCCTTTTTTTTTTAATTTTTATTCGTTTTCCGGTAGCAGAAAAGAAAAAAATTTTCTTTTCCATTTTTTTTTTGGACGGTTATTCGTTCATCGACTTATTCATTTTTTTTTTTTTAAATTAATAATAATAATAATAATAAATTACGACGGTTGACAAATTTTTTAAAAAAAACAATAAATGATTATCATTATTATTATAAACACGTTTCCCAAAGATTTTAATCGTAATAATAATAATAATAATATTTATATATATATTTTTTTTAATGACGACGACGACGACGACGACGATAATAATAATAATAATAAAACAACAGAAAGAAAAAAAATTAATAATAATAATAATAACACGAGTGGCACACATTTTTTTTTTTATTAAATAGATTTATTTATATATATATATATATTTATTTATTTATTTATTACAATTATAAAATTTTATTTATTAATAAAAGACGATAAAATAATAATAATAATAATTAATAATTAATTAATTAATTAATTATAAATACAAAAATGAAAACACTTAAACAATCATTATAAATTTATTATTATTATTATTATTATTAATAAAGGAAATACATAAACGTCGTTTCGCGCGCGCGTGTGTGTGAGTGCGCGTACGTACATATACACGCACGTAATAAAACAAAAAACGTAATGATAATAATAATAATGAAAAATACTTTTAAAAAATAACCAAACGAAAATTCGAAGGTTTTTCATCTATTATTTATTTATTTATTTATTTAATCGTGAATGAAAAATCCGATCGATATTTATTTATTATTAATAATTTTATTAGAAAAAATCAATAATTTATTTATTAATTTTTTTTCCCACGTAAAACACCCGCATATACATACATTTACACAAAGAAAAATAATTCACATTTAAATTATTATCATCATCATCATCATCATCATTATCATTACTCACACTCTTATAGTTTTTCTCATGTAAAAATTTTTATGTACATAATTATTATTATTATTATTTTAATTTTTCGACCTAATTGTCATCATCATCATTATTACGTTAATTGCAAAAAAAAAAGAAATGATTGGACGTTATTTTTGTATTGTTTTATTCTGGTTGGGCGGGGTCGGGGGGTTTGGGATGAAGATGGTGGGAGGAGCTTAATCGTGTATAATCACATGATCGATTGAAATGATAATTATAATAATATAATTTTTTTTTTGGGACACCCTGTGTACATATATATATAATTGAATCGTAAGAGAATCACTTGATAGCCGAACGGAACCGTTCGAAAATTTTTTCAAATTTTAAAAACTAAAGAAAAAAATGGCGGGAAAATTTTTTTAAATTTTAATAAATTGACCGAATTATTATTATTATTATTATTATTCGTATAAAACGGGATATGTAAACCCTTTTTATTTAATTAATTAAATACACACGCATTCGTTTTATTCTCCTTTTTCTTCTTCTTTCAATCAATCAATCATTCGATCATTCAATCATTCGTTCATTCATTCATTCACCGAAGGCAGTATCATATAAAATATATATATATATATTTCACGTAAAAGAAAGAAAGAAAACGATTTAAAAAAAAAAAAAAAAAAAAGGCGGGAAAAAAAACGAAATTTTTTTTAAAAAATTATTTTCAGCATGATTCGGATGACCATGAAAGCCACCAAACTTTACATTTTTTATATAAAAAAATTTTTTTTTTATTTTTCGTATCGTCGTCGTCGTAACCGTTATTATTATTATTATTATTATTCTCATCGTCATCGTCATTATTATTATTATTATTATTATTTTTCGGGAATAATATGGGTACGTAGGATGATGTATCGCGATACGATCTAACGTCCGAAAGTATTTTATTTACGTCACTCGCGTCGTCGTCATCGATGACGCCACCACCGCCACCGCCGCCGCCATTTTTATTATTATTATTATTATTAAATAATTCTTTTTCACTTGATAATTTTTTTAAAAAAAAATGTTCGTCATTTTTATTAATAAATATCAACGGATCCTCACCGGGATATACCATTTTATCCCGATTTAAACGGGGATTCGAACGTTTAACGTAAGACCGTTTTTTTCTCCTTTTATTATTATTATTTTTATAATTATCCTTTTTAACGAATTTAATGTTGAAAGGATCTTCTGCTAATTCTGGATACACGTTAATATCGTGCACGTATTCCCCTTCGAACGACATAGAATACCCGACTTTTAATATTTCTTCGATTTCGCTTTGCGACCAATCGACCGAGCCCGGAAATCCCAACCTTAGCAAATCCCTTTCCCTGTGCCAAGCTTTCCTAAGAGCTTGACCCTTGGCATGATGCAACAACCTGTTTTTTTCTTTTTCAGGTGTCGTACCGTATCTCAAATTGATAACGGTACCGGAATTGTGTATTTTAATATCCGCCATTTCTTGATCTTTTTCGTGAAACGTCGTGTTCACTTGCGAACCGAGACGTTTTAATTGACCTCTATCTTCGGAAACTTTCCACGTTTCCGGTTTGACGAAGAAAAACGCATCCTGTTGCGCGCCGTGTATTAAAAGTTTTAAATCGAGTAAATAACTACGATTGAAAACGCTTGTGAAAACATCTCTGTATATTGGATTAGCACTTGGCACACTGTTAAGAACGGCCATACCGGAAACCGTTCGCGACACTATAATACCCTTACCGAAGGGTGGTTCGGAATTGGCACCAGGTTTGCCAACGTTCAATACCTTTTGCCAACCTTCGAGTATTGATATTTGTTTAACTTTACTCTTTTGTATCGATGATAATTCTCGGACGGTTAATTTTTTCTCGTCCATGTTTGCTATGAAACCGGATGCTATTTTAAACGTGGGATTAACGAAAAATTCTTTTTTTAATAATCCTTTGGGTGATAGTTCGCCACCGGATTCGGGACCCAAATTCGAATTGATTTTAGGTAAATTTTCCGAATATATTTGTGGTGCTAAATTTTTAACATTGTACCCGAGTATTTTTAACCAACTTTCGGTATCTGAAAAACAAACAAATAAACACAAATAAAAACGGAAAATGACCGAGCGAGGATGAACAAACCGGAAACATACACGTACCTGTTAATTGACTTTTTTTAGCACGAACGTTTATAGGATCATTTCCGTTAAAACGATATAAATGTAAATGATTTGGTGATGATATCCTCGAAAGTATCGTTTCCCAATTTGGAGTCATCCATTGTCCTATCAACGGATCATAAACTTGACCGTTTTCCATGTGTACCAACGATGTAACCTGAAAAAGTTTTCAATGTGTCATTTACGAAAATATTTGAAGGAGTCGTTGCGGTCGTTGCGACAACGTACCTGATCCAATAAACCACCGCAAAAATCAACGGGTAAGTATAAATATGGATTCGAATCGTAAACAATGTGACCGTATGGTGACCTCATTATTTCTCTTATACCTTCGCCATATTGATTAAAAACCATGACCGGTGTACCGCATTCGTCGGTTGCTATGTAATATTTGTGCCTGTACACTTGTGCGTAAATCAAATGTCCTCTGTCATCGTATATGAGGGACATTAATTTACCATCTCTTGGACTATATATTTGCGATACCTGTGGATTCCGTATTATTATTAACTGCTGGAATATTAAAAAATGGATCCCGATCATATGAACACGACACCTACCTCGTTTGGCCTTTTGTGATTGGTGTAAAAAAATTGCGTGACGTTTCCGTAATTATCTTTTCTCGATGACAGCCTATCGAGATGATCGTAAAAATATCGAACGTCGAAACGACCCCTTTTCGTCGCTCTCACCAACAAACCTTTTGCATTATAATGAAACCTTTCTTCTCTTGCATTTTGTATAACGAATCCCCTATTATCGTACTTGTACTGTCCTTCTCCGAATTTTACTATACGATCCATGACGTTGTATTCCATGGGTATCGTGTTTCCACTATTTACAAAAAAAGAAAGGTTACCCCATCGAAACAATAACGATAAGAAAAACAAGATAATGATGATGATTTACCGGTAATTCAATGCCAACATGTTACCGTTGGCATCGTAATTGAATCCCCAGGGTTCTTGTGCTTCAACACCAATCAATTGTCCATCAGGATCCCAAGTGTAATTTTTTGTATTCGTATAACTGTTGACTCCAACGTTTCTCGTATATGTTTTAGTTTGACTTATTCGACTGGGGGGGTGAAAAAAAAAATTTTAAACATTCAGTGAATGATTATTATTATTATTATTATTATTATTTGTGTTACCTTCTTAAATCGTATGAAAATTCCATTCTAAAAACTTCCATTCTGTGTATTGTGACGGCAATTTCGATTTCTTGAAAATATTCGTTGATTTTTCTAGAAAATAATGCGGTACCATCGAAAACGGTCGTTTCGTTTGCTTTCGGATTCGATACCTGAAAATGGCGGGAAAGTGGGATTAATATTTTTGTAAATCGCTTTTATTTTTTTTTAATCATTTCCGTCGTTTGTACCTTAAATTGTCCGAATTGTGCAACGCTTCCGGTTTTCGGTGAATATCCTATGTTTAATTCCGGTAGATTTTGTCCACCTATTCTTCCGGTTATCATGGTCACTCTAAAATTATCATCGTATTCGTAAGTTAATTTTGCATTGCTCAATCCGGTTTTGCTACCGAAATCGATTCTTTCTTCTATTAACTTTCCACCGGAATGTGTCAGATCCCATTTATATTCTAGATCTTTTTCACTGTGGGTGACTTCGCTGGGTGATCCGGATGCTATTTCCGAATAATTTATTTCGCTTTTTCCATCCCCGTGAATGATCTGAAGTGAGAAAAATGTGTGAGTGACGTCATGGGGAGGGGAATGGTGATGATGGGGTGGTCGATGATTACCTCGCTCAATAAACCAGATTTGTGGTATCTGTAAACGACTCGTGCTCCGTCACCCGGATAAACCGTTTGAAGCAATGCTCCATCGTTTGAATAATGTTGTATGTAACTTCTTGTAGATCCAGGAGGAGTGTAAGTGACTCTTATGAAACCGAGACTCGGTTGACATGAAAAACTATGTTTCGTACCGGAAGGTAGTGTTATGTGTCTTATACCACCTTCCGAATCGTACATGAATTGAAAAGCTCGACCGCTCGGAAGTGAAAGTTTCGACAGCTGTAATCGAACAATGTAATCAAGACCTTTTTTCGCGAAATTTTACAAATTTAATTAAACACAATTACCATGTTTAAATCGTTGTAGAAGAATCCTATCGTGCCATCGTGAGGATTGCTCATGCCTGATAACAAACCGTGTCTTTCGTACGTGTAAGTTTCCGTTTGTTCGCCCCAAGACCATTTTTCCAATCGGTTAAATCTAATAATAATAATAATCGTACGTTTCGTAAAAGAAGAAGATGGAATAACAAAAAGGAAAAAAAGGAAAATTTCTTTACCTGTCGTAAGAAACGTTAACAGGATGTCCGAAATGTGGGGTCCATGCAACCGGTAAACCGACGATGCTGTAGTTAAACGTCAGCAATTTTTCACCTTCTTGATTGTATACGACTTCTTTTCCATCAGATTGATCTAATTCGATTCCCAAAACTTTTGTTTTATTTACGTAAATGTCTCTTCTCACCGTTTGTTGCGTTTTGCTGTTTATGTCACCGACCAACGAATATTTCCATTCCATTTCGTTAAAACTTTCACCCAATTGATTTTTCTAATGGCGGTTTAGAAAAAATTTTTATTATTTTCTCTTAATGACACGTACAAATATTGTTTTTAATTATTTACCTGTAAACTCCACATCGGTAACATTTCCGCTTCGATGGGTAAACTCAATTCTAAAAGCGGAAATCGAGCAACGGCTACAGAATCGACGGAAACACCCCAACTCGCTCGACTGATAAGGGTACCATTTTTATAACTCACGAGTTCTGTCGTCGAATCGTCTGAAAATTATTATAATCATCATTATTATTAAATTATCTTATCGTTTGTTGTGCTCTCTTATCACTCACAACTCACTTTGTTCGATTGTTAGTCGTTTAGCTCCCACACCATCCATGGTTAATGTTGTCACTCTGTCGTTTGTTCCACTCACGACAACTTCTAATTTATTATCAGGTGATAATTGTGACGACAACAAAATTATTTCACCTGTCGGTAGAATGACGGTTGATACTCGACCGTATTTATCGTATCTGTAAATTACGGTTCTACCACCCTGACAGAAAAAAAAAACGATTCGATTCAGTCGTTAAAAAAAAAATAAAATGAATGAATGAATGAATTTTCTCTTACTCCTCCTCCTGTCGAATCTGATCTGCTAGTTAATAATCCGCTGATGCTGTCGTAATCAAAATCAATTTCGGATTTTCCTTTTTGTGAAAATTTAACAAGAAAACCGACAGCGCTTATTTTAAGATCGGATTTATGATCTTGTGCGTTTTCGATCGTGCTTACCTAAAAAGCGTCGTTAATGGTATCATATCATCGTAGGTACAACGTGGAATAAGAAAACAAAATGGACGATACTTACGACGTTGCTGTAATCTCGTAGGAATAAAATTTTATTACCACTCGGATCGGTTATGGTACTCAGTTTACCAAAACTCGTGTTTTTACTGTATAGAAAACTATATTTGGTTTTACCACTCGTGAGGTCTTTAGTACTGATATGTTGTCCGTAACGATTGAAAACGTACATTTCCATAAATGCAGGATAGGGAATTTTAAATTCGCCATTTTCGTCATGAACAGGTAAGTAATGTTCGAGAGAAAGAATATGAAGTGACCCTAGAATAGATATTACGAATTTATTAGTGGGTGTGCTTCGAGTGCCAGGAGAAAAAAGAACTCACCTTGATCAGCAACGTATACGATTCCATCGGGTCCAACAGCAATTGCTGAAATTTGATATAGTTTTGCATTTGACGAAAGTAATGTTTCTTTGTTGCTGTCGTCGTTTTGTACTTCGCAACACATTTCTTTGGTTATGGTATTGGAATTGTTTTTACAATCGCAACTATCCGTCCTGAAGAAGAAGGATCATCAAACATGTGAGCAAGTTATCGGGTAAGTATAAAATTCAATTAAAATCAACCCTCACCTCATCTCGTTGGGAACACCTTTTCCGGCAAAATCGCTTATCCTACCGGAAGAGTCTACAATTTTGATCGTGTTTATTTTTCTTGAATCGCTTTGCGCCAAATATAAATCTCCGGTTGGGCTAAAAGCCATGGCAAGAAGAGAACCGAGTGCGGAACCTCTTGCATCGGTGTCTTCACCCGAAGACGAACCCACGGGAACATCATTCGTGTTATTTTTTATTTGACAGTGCAATGCAGAACCCGCGACGACTTTTATTTTTAAATCCGATGTTAATTTTAAAACCAATCGATCGTCAATAAAATACAAACTACCATCCAAAGGACTTAGTGCTAAACCTGTCGGCCATTGCAACTGAGCCTGATTTGCTGGAATTGCTGATTTGCAAGGAATGGGTTGCCAATGATTGTTGTGACCGTGATGACCGACCAACGTGTGAATTATATCTTTCGAATCAACGGCTCTGATGTTTGTACCATCAGCTATGTACATGGTCCTATCCGAAGCTATTGCCAAACCTATAAACACATCGGAAATGATAAGAATCGATCGTGCGAAAACGGTTGAGAATGGTGTCACGTGTTATCTTAACCTTTCGGATGAGTTAATTTAGCTTGTTTTGCAGGTCCTAAATCTCCACAGTTGGACAAATCACCAGGTATGCACCTTTCACCACTTCCGACGACTACGTCACCATTAAGTGAAGGTTCTTCTACCGGATCCAATATCAAAACTTTTAATATTTGATGACTTTCCGGATTTGATATATAAAGTTTACCATCGGCTGGTGACACGGTTAGATAATATTGATAGGACACTTGCGTTGCGCTGTTTGAAACACAAAGAAAATTATTAAACCATCCAACGAATCAAAACCCTTAACGATTTTCTCGTCGTACCTGAGTTGATAAACGGTGTAAACGTTACCCTCGGGTGTTATCCTTCTTACGAGATTAAAATCACCAACGTATAAAGAACCATCCGGTCCTGTCGTTAAAGCCACGGGTGTTAAAAGTTTCGAATCTTTTGCCGGACCGTTACAATCGGTGCATTTAAGCGGTCGCTGTAAACCGGTACCCATGAGGACTTTGACAATCCTCGGATAGTTTTTCAAATTCAACATCAATCCATCACCTCTTTGTAATATACCTAAAAAGGACCAAGGATACGATAAAATACAAAACAAACAGAGAGGCAACAAAAGACAAAACGTAAATTAACCTTCGTGAAAATTATAATGATGATGAACATCCAAACTCCAACCACCGATGTCGGATATGTCGACGACAAAACCGTTTAATGTAGCCGTTTGAGTTTCCCAAATGACGTTACCACAATTAGAATATTGATAACCTATGGATACTTTGGCTAAAGCGACACCATAAACCTACGACAAACGACAAAAATTTTTTTTACTATTTTATCTAAAACCACGTCGAAATTTTTTATATAAAAAATAAATTAACCTTTTGTTTATAAACGTTTCTTTTGTTCCATGCGAATACGTGAGTTAAATCCGGATCTGCTTCGTACATTTTCGTGTAAATAGAACCTTCTATTTCGACTCTTAAATGTACGTGAGTTAAAGTGTCGGGGATTTGATTTCCGGTTAGTCTCATATAAAGAAGACTATAATATCCGGCACTTTGTGATGATTGATACATTAAATTCAAATCCGAACCGGGAATTGAAATTCTTTCTTGTATGACCTTAAGGGAAAACATTTTTTTTTTTTAAAGACAACAAAAATACTAGGAAAATTCCCATTATTATCATTATTATTATTACTTGTGTTTCCGCAAGGAGTACGCTTTTACCAAAAACGGGTCCTTTTTTTTCAGGTGCCCAAGATGAAATGACGATGGGATTAACATCGGTGTGATCGGCACACGAATCCAGGGATAAAAATCTTATGGAATTTTCAAAATAAATCCCCATTTTCGTGTGATAATCCGGCGGTAACGTGATATTTTTAGTGACGTCATCATTTTCAAGTTCTCCCAAATGCATTTGTATGGGTGGTAAAACGACGATTTGATTCCAAGGTACGAAAACGGTTTTTGTCAAGGGTTTAAATGGCGAACGTTGAAATTGAAGAGTTACGGCACCACCGCCGTTCACCAAAACGTCGTACCTTAAAAGGAGAGAAATTATTATTATTATTATTATCGGCGTGAAAAGTTGAAAATACTCGAGAGGGGGTTTCTAACGAACCATCCTCCATTTCTTGTCAATGTAAATCCAAATCTCGAATCTTTATCAACGGATACTCTTATTCCGACAATACCGAGACCCTGTGGAGTAACTACACGTCCTCTCATTACAGAAACACGACTGGAACAGAAACGTAAAAAGATCAGAAATGACAACATTAAAAAAAAAAACATTTTTAATAATTAAAATTCGCAAAAAAATCGATTTTGTAGTAACGGAAAAAAAAAGTCGTCTGCTTTTTTAAAAAAAATTTTTTTCCTTTTACAAAATCGATTTTTTTTTTAAGCCCAAATATTTTTTTTTTTGTATTTAATGATAATAATAATAATGATAAATATTATTTCTTTTATAATTTACCATTAATTTTTTTTTCAAAGATAATAATAATGAAATGCAAACAACAATGGAAAAAAAAAATTTATTTATTTTATTCAAATTTCTTTACGCATCAGAAAAAAAAACCTTTTCCTCACCCCACCTCCATCCCACCTTCACCCCACCCACTCCACTCCTACCTTTGCTCACTCCTCCCATTCCCACACACTCGCTCCTCCCCTTTCTTTTCTACTCTACCTCATCCCATCCCCACACGTCCGAAATATATTTATTTTAGTTCCCATTTCGACCGCAACGTGTCGCTTTGCAAAAAAAAAAATTTTTGGGCTCGTTAATATAAAATCATTTAAAAAAAAAAAAAAAAAAAACATTCGAACAACGTGATTTATTATTATTTATTATTTATTTATTTTTTTTATTCCGTGATAAAAATGATAATAATAATAATAATGATGATGATTATGATTATCATCGAACGGAACTTAAAAAAAAAAAAAATCCGATTAAAATTTCTTTTTTTTTTTTTTTTTTTTTTAAACAAATGAAAAATTATTATATACTAAATAGTAATTGCAAAAATAAAAAAAAATTAAAACCATGCATTAATAAATAAATAAATAATAATAATAATAATAATTGTTTTGCTTTGCTTAAAAACGCGAATCGAAAAACAAAAAAAAAATCATGGAAAAATAAATAAATAATAATGATTGACGTCACATTAGGAGAACGACGCCATTTTGTTTTGTCGTAATTATCGTTTCCATGATTTTTTTTTTAAATAAAATAATTTTAAAAATAAAAAATAAAAAGAGATGAGAGATGACAAAAAATAAATGAAAGAGAGAGAGAGAAAAGCATTCATTAAAAAAAAGCATAACGTTTGAAAATAATAATAATAATAATAATGATAATAATAATGTGCAGCCGCATTCTTCGAAAAAAAATTAAAATTAAACAAAATGCAAAAAAATAATAAATAAAATAAAATAAATTAATTAATAAATAATTAATTATAACTTAAACGTAATAATAATAATAATAATAATAATAATAATAATAATAATAATAATAATAATAATAATAATAAATAATAAATAAACGATGATGACGATAATAATAATAATAATAATATATTTCCAAAGTCCTTGTTGTTGTTCTTGTGATCGTCGTAAAAAATTTTTTTTTTTTTTTTCCGTGGGGGTTTTTTTTTCACAAAAATAATAATAATGATAATTTTTTCTTTTGATGTTGTTGTTGTTGCGTCCCGTTTGTTTTTTTATGCTTTTTGCGGTCGTACGTCTTATTATGTAAAAAAAAAAAAAGGGAAAGAAGATTATGTACAACGAGGTTTTCATAGTCGGATTAAAACAATTATATATATATATATAAACTTACCTTTCGTATACGAAACAAAAACAAAAAAAAAATAATAATAATAATTATTATTATCATTATTATCACGAGTGCTTCCGCTGCGACTAATGAAAGGTTTTCACTTTTTTTTTTTTTTTTTTAATAACAATAATGATAATAATAAGATCAAAGAGAAAAAAAAATAATTTTTTTTATTTTTTCAAAGGGCTTAAAAGCTCAGAAAAAATGTTGATGATAATAATAATAATAATGAAAGGATGTGAGAGAAAGAGAGAGAGAGAGAGAGAGTAAAAACAAAATGGGGGAAAAAGCTAGCTAGCTAGCTAGCTAGCTAGCTAATTGACGTAGAATTATTTTTATGAAAAAAAAAAAATTCTCATTTTTTTAATTTTTTTTTTAAATATTGAAATCCACAGTGATTATCTTTTACTTCCCCTTACCCCCCTTTTTTTAATTAATTAATTTTTTTGTGGGAGGTTCGGGGAGGGGGGGGTGGAAAAGTCTTTACCGGGAGGCATCATTCGTTGGAGAAAAAAAAAAAAATTAAACATACGAAATAATAAAAAAATAAATAAAACAAACATTACCTGAAATTGTATTATCGTATGCATATAATAATAATAATAATAATGAATTATTTAAAAAAAAAAAACCTGAAGAAAAAAACAACGAGAAAGGATTAATAGCCGTCGTGTCAATAGAAAATAAAATTAGTTCCACGCGAAAATTATTCGTTTTCATTTAGAAAAAAAAAAAAAAATAAAATAAGGCATGTCAATTTGTTTATATTTTATTCTGTTGGCATCCTTGTTTCGATTTTTTCGTCTTTACCCCCCCCCCTTCCCCCTCTCTCAATCATCCCCATCATCCCGACTCCCCGATTAAATCGTCCAAGTCAAATTCTGTGAAAAAAAAGTTATTAAAAATAAATAAATACAACAAGGACTGGAATTATTATTATTATTTTAAAAAAGAATAATTCGAATTTGATTTTTTTTTTGAAATTTTAAATTTCCCGCCAAAATTAAAATTAAAATAAATAAATTTCCGGTTTTTATAATAATAATAATAATAATAATTTTTTTTCTTATCGACCGATAAAATTTTTAATAAAAAAAACAAAAAAATTAATAATAAATAATAAAATAATAATAATGATAATCGTAATAATAATAATAATAATAATAATAATAATAATAATAATAATAATAATAATAATAATAATAATAATAATAATAATAATAATAAGAAAAACCAAAAATAATAATAATGATAATGATAAAAAATTGGGGACAAAAAAAAATTTTTTTTTTTTGTTTTTTTTTTTTTATTTTTTCGTTCGGTTGTAAGAGGGCGGGCGATCGATGCGGTGAAGGGAAAGAGAAGAAGAATGAGTGGGAGAGAGACGGGGGGAAGAGAGGGTGGTATGACGTCAGGGGTGTGAGGAAAACAAATAAAAAAGGCGCGTAATTCAAAATGAAACGAACGGATGGGTATAGGTAAGTTTTTTTTAACAAGGTTAGGTTAACATGTAATTTAGACGCAGACAAATGGGTTAAACATAAAAGGTTAAGTAATAATAATAATAATAATAATAATAATAATAATAATAATAATAATAACGATAACGATAACAATAATAATAATAATAATAATAATAATAATTTTCTTTTCTATGTAATTTTCGAACGCAAAAAAATAAACACACATAAATAAAATAAATAAATAAATAAAAGGAGAAAAAAAAAACATATAAATCGTTCGATAACAATAATAATAACGATGATGACGATGATAATGATAATAAATAAATAAATAAAATTGCTTTCCTAATTAATAAATAAATAAATAATAAAATAAATAAATAAATACACACACAATCGGTGAATAAAAATGAAAAAAAAATAAAAATAAAAGAAAACGAATGATAAAATGTCGTAAATACGATTTTCGTTTAACGGTTTTTTATGACGTCATCAAATTTAAAATCTTAAATCGTTTAAACCTAAACGAAAAATTCGTATCAACGACGATGAATTCTTTTAATAATAATAATAAAGATAATAATAATGATGATGCCGAATAAAATAATATGTGTATAAATGACGATAATAATAATAATGATGATGATGATGATGATAAATAATAATAATAATAATAAATAAACGAAAATAAATTTTTTTTTTTTTACGGACATTAAACAAATAATAAATATATATATTTATATATATATAAATGACGATTAACAAGACAAAAAAAATAAATAAATAAATAAATAAAATTGTTTTATGTATACACATATATATATATATATATTATTATTATTATTTTTTATATACATATATACACATAAAAATAATAAATAAATAAAATAAAATAAACAAAAGAAAAAAAAAAAAAAGAAAAAAATTATTGACAAAAGACGAACGTAAGACAAAGACGGTGCGACATACGTAAAAATAAATAAAATAAATAATAATAATGATTAAAATAAATAAATAAATTTATTATAACAAACAAAATAAATAAATAAATAAAAAATGGCTGAAGGTAAAACAAATACATCAGGCATATTTCACTTAAGAATCAGTTCAACTCTTTATTTATTTTTTTTTATTTATAATAAGTGGCAGAAGTATAAAAAAAAAAATTCATTCTATAACCACGACAGACTTTTAAAAAATTATTATTATTCCGTTTAAAAAAAAATAAAAAGTTTTTTCTTCTGCTTCCACTTCCCACCTCACGTCTCTCATCCCTCATCTTTCTCATCATCATCTTCTTCTTTTTAGTTTTATTTAAATTGAGTATGCAGATTAGGTTTCTACAATTTTTTTTTTTTTTTGTCGTGGAAGGAGAAAAAGAAAAAGTTTTTTAAGAAAAAAAAATAAAATTTTTTTATCGATAAAAAATCGTTTTCGAATTTTTTTTTTATTTATTTTGACGAATTAAAGTTTTGCGGGAAAAAAAACGATACAATAACAAAAGCAGAAGAAAACTTTTTTTTTTTCGTATGTAAACTTTTTAAATATAATTTATTATTATTATTATTATTATTATTATATTTTTAATACTTTTAATACAAGATTTAAAAAAAAAATAAAAATTTTTTTTCAAGAGAGAGAGAGAGTATTTATTTCTTATATGTAAAATAGAAAAGCTCTTTTCCTAACTTTTATGGGGAGTGTGAGAGAGAGAGAGAGAGGGGGGGGAAGAGATGATGGGGGGGCAATATAAAGAGCCCCGAAAATAATATAATTATTTAATATTTATTCTTTTTGTTGAAAACAGTTGAACTGATTTAAAGTGAAGGAATTTATTTACTGCACTTACCGCGGTGTGAATGAATTCCAGAACGAACTACGAAGATAGATTGCAGGGGGAACAAGGACAGACAAGGTAAAGTT